TTCCCCCCAAAGCCCCAGTGGATAGTTGTATGTCGTAGCTGCACATCCTTCTAGTTGCTGTATGTGGGACTCGGCCTCAGGATGAACGGAGAAGCGGTGCCTTGATGCGCACCCGGGATCCGAACCCGGGCCACCAGCATCGCAGCGCGCGCACTTAACCACCAAGCCACAGGGCCGGCCCATAAAGTATTTCTTGATATGTGTAAATCCAACTATGCTTTCTTCACCATATCTAATGCTGTGATATTCGTATTGTAAGTATACTTTTATAGAGTTAATAATGTTTTGAATAAATTATAATAATCATCTATCAGTGAAAAGCTTAACTTGATACTGTATAGTAAATTTTTTTTTTTTAAGATTTTATTTATTTACTTTCCTCCCAAAGCCCCAGTAGATAGTTGTATGTCATAGTTGCACATCCTTCTAGTTGCTGTATGTGGGACACGGCCTCAGCATGGCCCGAGAAGCGGTGCGTCGGTGCGCACCCCGGATCCGAACCCCGGCCGCCAGCAGCGGAGCGTGCACACTTAACTGCTAAGCCACGGGACTGGCCCTGTATAGTAAATTTTACAGTATATTTTTCACTACCTACTGAGTTAGCTTTCTTATGAGATTATTGTATTAAATGTTTACATGTTTTCTTTTTATAAAATTATGATCAGCCATGGTTACGGATGTATCTCTTTTTTCATAATTTATGATTAATAAAAGAAAAAGTATAGCCGCATTTGTTCTCAATATAAATACATTTTTCTGTGCAACTGCAATTCAAAACAATATTAAAAATAATCTAGGTCAGCATTAAATTTTTTATGAGATTATTTCTAATTACACACTTTGTAGAGCATTTAAAATGGAAAAGATAAATGAAGAATACTAAGATCACTTAGATTGTGTCATTGCTTTTATTTAGTTAATATAAGATCCAGTAGTATTAATAAATCTTTAACACTGGGATTTTTAATTAAGCTCAACAATATCTGCATTTGACCATCTTTGTATTCAGGCTCTCTCAAGATCCCTCTAAGTTTAATATTCTATGAGCCTCACAGTGTTATATTGCTAAAGGATTCACACCCAGTCTGCAACTGTAAGGGAACTAATAAAGTATTAAAAGCACACAGAATAGAAAATGAAAAAGTACTCAAGATAGGCATCTAAGTACATTTTCATCTATAGCTATATCTACATGGAAGGCCAACATGTAATCATAGGATTGCTTTTAAGCATGAAATCAGAGCAAAGAAAGTTAGTGGGATAATCTTGATAGCTCTGTCATTAAGCCATTTTGCTCTGGTTCATCTGGTTCCCAATAGGGAAGACCTACTGGAAGGATGATATCCACAGGCGGGGACATCTGCTCCTGTGTACATTGTTGGAGCTTTCCTATAAAATTTGGATACTGTTCTTTCTCCTATTCTCCACCCTTAAAAAATGCAGCACACAAAATCCACTAAAAGAATAGCAATTTATTAATTACCTTCTGAAATTGAGCATGGTATATTTTGACTATGCTCACTAGATTTACCCTAGATTGACCAAAGAATTAAAAAATGACAATTTTCCACAGAATTACCAGAGAAAAATCTATCAAGTTTTTTTGTTTTGTTTTGTTTGTCTTTATTGCAAACCTGAACCCCCTTCCTTCCATTATTGCAGCATAAAGGATGTAAGGGAACAGGAAAGTGGTGTTGATAACAATTTCAGTAAGAGCAAGATGTATTTAAGATGAAGCAACAGCACTCCCGCTAATCTTTCAACAAAATTCTACTCTCTAACACTGCAAGTGTGGAGGTTTCTCCTTAGTATGGACTTAAGTGCATGATGATTATGCTACTTTGATCTTGATAGTATAGTTTGAATTTGTTAATTCAAACCTGCAAATAGTCTTAAGCCCTGACTGTCTTCAACCACATCTCATCAAGGCAAAATTTGCTCATTGGTTAAAGTACTTCAGATGGCATAGATCAAATGGTGATCATGTCTATTTACACCTTTAGGCACCTTCTTTAAGTCCATTTCTGCTGATAGAAGGCTTAGGAGGATTACATACCAAGCCTAATCTGGATATCTGCAAAATCTAGGGTATTCAGAGCAGCATTAGTCTTTAAACCTCATCAACATCAGAGAAACGTGTTTTGATCTCTCAGAATTGCCATGCAATAATTGTAACCGACAGAGATAGGCCGAAATTAAATTAAAAGAGAGAGAATGAGAAGGCCAGAAAGGACATCTAACTGAGAGAACTAAGTTCAAATCCTTAATCAGTGGCAGGCTACTTATTAGCTATATGACTTTGGGAGAGTTACTAATCCTCTCTGGAATGTAGTTTCCTTAATATGTAAAATGTAGTTAACAATAGCCACTGCTCTTGTAAGGATTAATAAAGGGATATATGGCAGAAATTTAAAAAATGTTAGTTCCTACTTCTACTCTTTCCCTATGTTCTAGGCCAGTCTAGACCTTTCTTGATTATGAAGGAACAAGGAATAGGATGTAGGTCTGTTCAAAGTTTAAGATATATATTTTATGCACTATGTATTTTCTTTCTTCTGAACTCTAGTTTATTTCAATAAGAAGTAATAGTGTTTGAAAAACATTCTTCTAGGCCATCTTAAATGAGCCTAGTGACTGCAGTTAGAAGAAATAAAAACATCTTGTTTCAGGATGAGAGGTAACATTTCCATCACCATATTCTCTTTGGGTTTAAGGCTACACTTGGATATGGCATCACAAGCTAGCAAATCATTGCTATTTGACAGGTATTATCACTGAATCTAGAAGTAGCTTCTCGGGCAGGCAATCAGTCAGGTGTTAAATGAAGACAGCAAGACTTGAAAACTCTCTCTAGAACTTGATAGCATGAGTAATTAATATTTATTGAAGTTCTCTAACTTTTAATGAAAGGACTCATAAATGAATAATAGTACTAGTGTACTGAAAACAATATAGCGGAGCAGTATATTATCCAGTAACATCTGAGACCTCTATTAACTTTGCTAAAGGCAGTCCAGACATATTGTTTTGAGACGTTTTATAATCAAGAATTAGGTTTGAGGAAGTAGGTTCCTAAACACTCTGTAGTCTTATGAAGCATGGCAGCTTTGTGTACCTAGCTGTGATTACATAGCATAAAAGAAATATACGTGGTTTTTATTATGTTCCTTATTGGAATAAAAGTTTAATTTAAGATAAACATTCTGAGATCTTGATATATAGTTTTAAAAACGTCTTTGTTTAAAAGTTATTACTTTGGGCTGTAATAATCTATCTTCAGAAGGGCAGAGAGAAAGGATCTTTTGCAAACCTAATCATGTCATGATCCTGTCACTCCTGGCTCCAAACCTTCCTATTTCCCTCACAGTAAAAGCCAAAGTCCTTATCCTCGCCTACAAGGTCTGGTCTCAATCACTTCTCCTCCCCGCACCTGCACCCCTTTCCCTGCCCTCAACTCCTACTGCTCTCCAACCATCTCAATCCACCCCAGCCACTCTATTTCCCCAACATACCAGGCTCCCTCCCTTACCTCCTTTAGGTCTTTGCTCACATGTCACCTTTTCAGTGAGGCCTCCCCTGACCACCCTATTCAAAATTGCATGGAATTCTCTCCCCTCCCCCAGCACACACACCTTCTAGCCTGTCCTTGCTGTACTTTTTTCCATAGCACTTATCACCACGAGATGTATTACATATTTATTACCACTTTTTGTCTGTCTCCTTTTAGAATGTCACACCCTAAGGGTAGGAGTATTTGTCCTTGTGCACTCTTGTACCCCCAGAGCCTAGAACAGTGTTTGGCACCCAGGAAATAAATAATTTTTGATGAATGAATGAAAGAATGAACGAAGAGTAACTAGCACTATTGCCAACTGGTGTTCAGTTCTTCAAAGTGTTTTTCTTATTTATTCCACTGGTAGAAATTATTTACATGCTTATCACCACCGTTGATCTTTGATATGCAATATACAGCAGAAAGAATATCATACATATGCTTTTAAAGTTTCTTAACTTCTATTCCTCCAGTTTTGAGGAAGTAAAAGCAAAGAGGTGGTTAGGTTGTGATGTTAATGGCGGTGGTGACGGAGGGCAGGCGGGTGGGGATTTCCGTTTTTAGGGAAGATGGCAGGTAAAAGTCTTACCATGATGCTCATGGAATCCTAAGTATTGTACCTGTGGCTGCTTGATCCTTGGAGTCCAGACCTAGCCTGGTTTGGTAAGCAGCAAAGGAAGAAAACCCCAGGATATTTCCTTGAACCATCTCCTGATGCAACTGTTTACAGCTTCCCTGTCAGCACCCAGGGGGAGCTTCACGGCCACCAGACTCCCACAACGTCTATTTGCTTCCCTGAACCTGGGCTCCGGGAGGAGCACGGCGGGCTGGCGGCCCTCGCCTGCTCCTCTGGCGGCGGCCGGGTGGCACGCCCACGCCGCGCATTCCGGTTGGTCCCTGCGGCGACAGGTGAGGCGCGGCCGAGCGCCAACTCCAAGGCCAGCGGGCCCGGCGCCCTGCGCCCCCGGCGGCCGCGAGCGGCGAGAGCCCTAGAAGAGGCTCAGCGGGGAGGCGGGAACTCTCCCCGCACGGGGGCGCTGCCACCTGCCCAGGGGAGGAGCCGGAGCGGGACCTGGGTTTTTTGCCGCTCCGACGCGCTGGAGTCGGGAGTACCCATCCTGACCATGAAGGGCCGCAAAGGCATTGAGAACCCGGCTTTCGTCCCCTCCAGCCCAGACACCCCGCGCCGCTCGTCTGCATCGCCCTCTCACGTCGAGGTCTCTGCCTTGGCCACCAACACCCAGAGAGCGGATTCCCAGCCACAGGAGTCTCAGGAGCCCCAGAAGTCACCGGAGCCACTTCTGCCTCCAGCAACTCCCCCCGGCGCCCAGGAGCGGGCCGGGCCGGAGTCGCTGTCCGAGTTTGAGGAGGGGCCCTGCGGCTGGGGGAGCTTCCAACCCCGGTGTCTCCAGCGCTGCAACACTCCCCAGGGCTTTCTGCTTCACTACTGCCTCTTGGCCCTTTCGCAAGGTAATGCCCAGCGCCGGCTCCAGAGGGCGTCGGCCGAGCGGAGGGCGAGGAGGGCGCGGGGAGCTGGCGGGGAGGACGGAGCAGGTGCGCCCGGAGCCCCGGGGGGCGACGCGCCGGGCGAGACGGCCGGGGGCTTGGGACATGAAGGCGTTCCCACTGACGTCAACCAACCAGGTTTAGGCTTCCACATTTTAGCTTCTCCTTTATCGCAACATTTAAACCTTTTCTCTTTTGCTTGCTACCTTAGTTTAGCAGATTCGATTCCTCCAAGGGAGATGGAAACTACGGGAGCCTTCCTTTGGGAGTGGTTTGCCCTGGGGGAATCCCTTCTACATTACAAAAGCTTATAATTTTACTAAACCCGTTATTCAAGGGACTTTTTACATTGTTTCCGGAATGGAATGATTAATAAATTTGCAGATGAGCTTAGGGGGGTTTTCAAAAGGAGAATCTTGTTGACTATATATAGTATAGGTTAGAGATAAGCATTCAGGTTTTGTGAGTATATTTAGTGTGAGTTGTATGTAAGCTCAAGTGGAGCCCAATGAGGAAGTTAGCAAAGGCTTCAGGCATTATTGAAAGGCACTATTCAAACACGAGTTATGCATGATCTGTTTTGTTCAAGGACATCTTTTAGATTCTCATGGGAGTTACTGATAAAGTCCAGGTTTATACCCTCAGGAGTTTGCAATCTAAGCTTGGTTTGGAGGAGTGAGTGGTAGGGTAGGAGAATGGCTCCCAAGAAAGAAAGCATAGAGAAGGTAAAAGCTGCTAGGGTGTTGCATCTAATGCAGGGGATGGAAGAAATGGAAAGTTACTCTAAGGTGACAAATTGAGGAGGGGTGGGCATTAAGGTGGAACATTGAAGGACATGCTGTAGGTTAGTTAGAATTTGATGGTATGTAGATATTTTTTGGTCACTTGAGTCATGGTTTCAAAATATATATACATATATTTTCAAAATATTTTGTAAAGAGGCAATCAAGGACTGAATGGAAGAGATACAACCCAAGAAATATTGGGGGAGGGGGATTGGAAATTGCTTTTTTAAGATTAACAAAAGAACAAATCTAAATATGTCCTTCCTGTTATTCCTGGTCCCCTGTCTCAAAGAAACTCAGTGTCCCTTGCTTTGTTTTGCCCTTAGGTGCTAAGTAAATATTTGTTAATTGCAAGTCAATTGCAGCTTTTCTTTTAACAGTAGTTTTGTGCTAAAGAGTTATTTCCCTTTCCACCTTTCTTGTCCCCACCAAAGTTCACCTACTCTCAATGTCGTGATCTTAGTTGTCCAAAATCAGTGACGGTGAAGGATCTCAGTGTCAAAGGAATGCAAAGTTCAAAGAGTTGGATACAAGTAAAAAATTAATTCTTGTTTCAGTTTAAGTTTAATGACTGAAAACATTGTTACCATGTTTCTCAAACATGATCTTTGGGAAGACCATTTCCATGGTCTTTAATTTTAATAGGTGTTTAATTGGGGGAAAAAAACCCCTAAAATCTGTCCAGCATTTCTCAAAGATAAACACAATTTCTCTTAGCACTTAATTTCCTAATGTGCTTCCTGTCTTCATGCATTTATAATAAAGGGACATAGTACCCAGTATTTCATGGAATTTCTATTTTTTTTAAGCAGAGTTTTTGGAACTGTTGTAGCATAGAATTCACATTGGGATGCATAGGCTTAAAACGCTATCCTTTCATAAGAGTTTACAAATTTTCTTTCCAGAGAGGTTTACCATAAGGGCATTGAGTTCCAATGACTGACTTTTGATCAGTACGGCAAGTATGTTGGGAAGCTGATTGATTTTTGGATGGGGAAATTTTCACATTCTTAGATAACTTTGTCTCCTTATCAACATGTCGTTCCTAGGTACTTTGGATACTTTGTCTTGAAATCTCAGGAATTGTAAATTGGCTTATAGACTTAATAAACTGGCATAGAAATAAAAATCATGTTAGAACTGTTAAAACTTATGTCAATCTTCTGGAAATTTATTTCCAGTTATAGTCTTTTTTTTTTTTTTCGTGAGGAAGATCAGCCCTGAGCTAACATCCATGCTAATCCTCCTCTCTTTGCTGAGGCAGACTGGCTCTGAGCTAACATCTATTGCCAATCCTCCTCCTTTTTTTCCCCCAAAGCCCCAGTAGATAGTCGTATGTCATAGTTGCACATCCTTCTAGTTGCTGTATGTGGGACGCGGCCTCAGCATGGCCGGACAAGCAGTGCGTCAGTGCGCGCCCGGGATCCGAACCCAGGCCGTCAGTAGCGGAGCGTGCGCACTTAACCGCTAAGCCATGGGGCCGGCCCTCCAGTTATAGTCTTGATGAAGCAAAATTTGAAGAGATTGTAGAGATCTTGGCTTGTATATACTCTTTCTATGAATTAATGAATGAAAACAATCCATGGTATTCTCTTAAGTAAAATGTAACTAGTTAAGAACTTTGTAATTTGATCAGATGCTTTTTATTTTTAATGTATAGTAATGTTTAAATTCCTGTAAATTTAATCTTTATCTAGCCAGGACATTTTTGTTAAGTCAGTCAAAGCTGGATTTCCAGCTTTTCCTTGTTTAGTAGATGAAGTGTAAGTTGTTTCGCTTTTACTTTGCATATGATTTAGAATGCCAGTGGTTGAAATAAGAATCTTAGTTTATGTTTATTTTTGCTCCAGGACCTTTCAAATCATAACTTTATTGTCTAGAAGAGTGTTAGACAAAAAAAAGAGTTGAGAGCTCAGTTTCACCTTTCTTGAGACTAAGTCAAGGATCTCTTGTTATAAATAAATATATTTAAGGATTGAGTAACCTTGGGAAGCAATTGAACATTACTCTAATGACCTCTGGAGTCACTTGTACTTTTTGTACTCTTCCAGGTGAGGGCCATGGGAGTCTGCTACCCTTGGAAACTCTAGCAAACCAGCTTCATGAGACTTCACCAGTCTGACTTTTTGTTGTCATTTAGAAAAATGAAGTTAGCTACAATTTAGTATGTGATAAGCATCACTTGTATTTAACACTTGAAAATTCGCAAGTGTACAATTTAAGAGCAAACTGATTTGTAAGGAAGTATGTTTATATTTGAGTTGCCCAGCTTTGAAACTTTGAGACTTTTAAAATTGGTACATTTAAAAATATCAAGAGAAACGAACAACCAAACTTTAGTACGTTGTGTTAATAATCATAATCTATATGGTAAAGCTGGAATAATGCACATAAATTTCTTTTTTTCTCTTTTAGGCGTTGTAGTAAATGGCCTAGTAAATATCAGCATTTCCACGATTGAGAAGCGCTATGAGATGAAGAGTTCCCTGACGGGCCTGATATCATCAAGCTATGATATCTCATTCTGTTTGTTGTCTTTGTTTGTATCATTCTTTGGTGAAAGAGGACACAAACCAAGATGGCTTGCGTTTGCATCCTTTATGATAGGACTAGGAGCACTTGTATTTTCATTGCCAAAATTTTTTAGTGGAAAATACCAATTGGGATCACTTTTTGAAGGTACGTTTCTGTTGTGTTTTTGTTTTACTCTAAGAAGTAGTATGAAACTAGGCCGTTAACTCTATATTGCAACTCACTCATACAGGTAAGTAGGTTAAGAGCTTAAGTCTTTTTCACTGCTCACTGCTTTGTTGTGATGTGAATTGTGTGAAGTAGGAGATTACAGAGACAGAGTGTGTGCATTATTCATGGCTTCAGTGGTTCTCCAAGTTTTTAATCCTCTGATACTCATTCCCAGTATTACACACAGTCCTCAAAAAGTGACGACCAGTTTTCCTTTGCAGGTGTTGTGACCTCATTGGGGTTCTAAGATCTATACTTTTTCCCTTTGTGGTTTTATTTGTTGAGCTTACAGCTCTACACCCTGAACATGTTGACTCCTGATTTGAGATAAAGAGAGGTGAAGTTTATAGGAGTGGGGCTTTTCCTAAAAACTAGAGCTAGCTCTGCTTATGACTCTCTAGTTTAGAGACACAGAACTTCATGAGTTATCTAATGGGTTGCTCTGGTTGGGTGAAGAGGTATGTTATTCAAAGTCTCAAAAAGGAAATTTGATTATTTATATTTTACTTTTTTTCAAAGAATTATTTTTAATAGAAAAACAATTATGATGGAGCCAAAGGAATGTGCTAATGTAAGTAGATCTTAATATTTTTATTGTCCTTCCTGGGACTTTTAATAGCAAATATTGAAATAAAATCAGAGAGCTACAAAATCAGAAGCTTTCAGGGATTAGGTAAGTGAAGAAAAGGCTTGGAGTGGAAGAAGGGAGAATGGGAGTCTGCTGTACTATAGATATTATTTTCAAAAAGTTAAGATTGTTATATATGTGAGTATTAATATTGAAAACCAATATTAAAGTGTTAACATTTCCCAAGACCATTTCCCCAATAGTAGAATGATGACAAATAGGAAAAGCTTTTCAATAACAAAGTATATATTATGCCGCATGGTTTTAGGAGTACGCTTATTAGGTAAGCAGGCTTCATTTTGGAAATAAAAATAGAATATGCAATTATTGGACCAATAGAGGATGTTTTAAAAAATGTAGTACGGTTTGGAATGAATAAGATAAGGAGAATATGTTATGTTATCAGAAGAAAGAGCACTTATGTAGCTTCTAGTTCATTATCTAAGACTGGACAAGATTCCAGAAGGTCAACTTCACGTAATTTCACAGGGACAAGGCACACAGGAATAAGACACATAGGCTTTAGTATAACGCCTCTGAAATCTTAACAGTAAGGGAAAAGCTAATTTTAGTCTGTCACACAAGAAACATGATACTGATTCTGTGTTAGCAAAAATATTATTGTATTTATAGCATTTAGGTGGTAATCTTTGCACTGAATCTAATCCTTCACTCTTCCAGTCGATCAGATGTCCTACATGTTCTTAAAGTGTACAAACTTTAAACAAAATCCCTGACTCTCTAAACTAAAACGTAAACACCTATTCCAGTACAAAAGCCTGATCTGCCCTCAGCAATCTTCTTAGTTTCATTGCTTGCCACACACACCTTGAGTTGCAGCCAATCTGAACAATTTATATTTCCCAAAGGGAAATGGCCACAAATTAAGGTGTATGTGTGTGTGGCCAGAGATGAAGGCCAGAAGATTGCTGAAGCCAGATGATAAACTTTTAGTGTATTATTTTGTACTGTGCAAGTTTTTACGAAATTCTTATTGATCTATCTTATTGATACTTTTCATTATTTTAGTTGAAGTAGATTAGATTGAGGAACTGGCTGATCTATAAAATTTTTACTCTAAATTAAGATTCACAATTTAAATAATAGCTTATGTGTGGCAAATTAAAGAAAACCTTAGGTTACTCTTATGTTATTCTGTCATTCAGCAATGAATATTTATTGATATGGACTATACATGGTGCTGAGATAACAGTGGTGAAACAGTTTCATGCCATCTGGATTTCATGTCCTAGTGGGAAGAAATACAAAATTAATAAGCAAATAAACAAGATAATTGAAGATTGAGGTGAGTGTAGGAAGGGAACAAATAGTATGAAGTAATAGTGTACAAAAGGGAAAATATGTGGGCAAGGAAAAGCTATTGTGATAAGAATTGGAAAATGAGGAGGCTGGAGAAAAACAAGACCAAGGGCTTTGAAGCAGGGAAGAGTTTGGTAGGTTTTAGGAATTGTCAATTTTGGCCAGAATGGTCAAAGCAAGGGAGAACGTAGCGTGAGATGAACTTGGAGAGGCAGGTAGATGCCAGCATGAGGCATTTATATTTTCCTTTAAGTGCAATGGGAAGTCATGAGAGAGTTTTACACAGGGAAGTGCGTGATCTTATTTATGTTTTAAAATGGCCATTTTGGCTTCTCTTGTTCTGAAGGACAAGAGTAAATGGGAGGAATTTACCCAGGAGGTTTTTACTGTAGTCCAGGTGAGAGATAAAGGGGTTGGGACTGGGTCAGTAGCAGTAGGGATCTAGAGGAGTGACTCATTTTCAATGTATTTTAAAGGAAAAAGATAAGGCTTTCTAGTGGAGTGATTGTGAAGGAGGAATGAATAATTACTCCTTGATATTTGGCTTGACCATCTGGGGCCATTTACTAGAATGCGGAAGACTAGGAAGAACAGAAATGAGAGTGGAAATCAAGAAACCAGGTTTGGATTTAGTACGAACCGCGTATTATATATCCAAGGTTGCAATATGTATCTTCGAACATATACTTTTGTTTATGTGAATGTGCAAGTCATTCTTTAGTCTTCATTCCTAGAAGTGCAAATGCCGGGTTTGAAGGGCTTCCTCCTTCTAATTTTTGATAGATAACATCACACTGACTTTTAGGAGGGGATATACCAGTTACTTTCCCACAGTTGGTATATGAAAATGCCTAGTTGCTATTTTGAATTTTTACATTCTTTTTTTCCTGAAAGTTTTCTTTAATAGAGACGTCATTATGGTGAGTTTGTGTGTATGTGTAGGTGTTTACAATATAACAGGTACAAACTCAGGATTGAAATTGCATTACATATCTAAAGGAAATTTAGAAACAGAAGGAACGTCAGAAATTGTAAATCCCTGCTTTTACAATGTGGAACCTTAGGACAAGAGGTGAAGTGACTTTATAGTGATTTCATAGATGGTCAATAATAGCTAAAACTAACACTAGTTTAATTTTTGTTGTTTAGTGTTTAGTTTGATGTTTAATGTTTTTAGATTTTTGTTTATTACTTATAGGTTTATTAACAATAATAATTTATGTGAATTATTTTTATGAATTTAAACCATTTCTTCCTCAGTTTCAAATAGCCAGCTATAATAGTCTGTACTTTCTTGAAAACATAATAGCTTGTTTGCTCAAGTGAATTAATCCACTTTTGCAAATATGTGATCCTGTAACCAAAAATCTAAATTATTTGTCCAATGCTAAGGAGAGTGTAGAAGAAAACTGGAGATTTAAGTGGGAAAAGGAAAATGAATGAGTTGAAACTTCCTGTATCTAAATTAACAGCAAGGAAATGTACAATCTTCTTAGGTAACATAACATAAAGAACCTAACAATAAGAAATCATTTTATTAATTGAAATCATACATATAATTTAATTTGAAACTGACATTGAGAGAATTTACGTGTTCTCTTGTGTGCTTTTGTTTTGTTGTTGTTGTTTTTTGATGAGATGATCTCTGTAACAGGAGATTAAAGTAATGTAATATAGTTGGGGAGTAGAAGAAAACAAAATATGAAATATGATAAACTTGTATAATTTCCACAGGTGTTAGAATAACACGAAAGAAGGTTAAGAGTTAGCACAAGGTAGAAAAGTGTGTTTGGAAGCAGGTTTAATTTTCTATTGTTCTGTAAAAAAGTAAATTCAAGTAGGTTTGGGAAAGTATTTTTTTCAGGGAAACTTTTATGGAGACATAAGAGTTAGAGATGATTATCTAACTTTGAATGGAGATAACATTTTTCAAAGGGAAGTTTTGGTTGTTGTTATTGGATACAAAGAAAGGAAGAATTAAAATTAAGAGAAATAAATGCTTCTGGGGGCTAATTATTGTATATGTTTACCTGAAAATAGAGTAGTGTCATCATAAAACATTTTCAAGTAAATCATATTTGACACTCACTTTGGATATGTTTTAACATAACATTAACATACCACAACATATTTTAATATAACTTTTAAATATTTAAAAGTGTCCTAAATAAAGAAATCTTTACCACATAACATTTTATTTTCATCCAAGCCCTTTTTAATTCCTTTTGGATTAGTGTTAATTTAATGTCATTAAGCAAAATAATCTTTTTGTCTCTTTGAGACTTCGGGAGGGGGGTCATTAGTAAATACTTAGGAATTGTAGAGAAGTAATTACTAAATTCAGTAAAGCTCTTTTTCTAAATTGACCAATAGATGGATAACTTTTCCTAAATTGTATTATTTTCTTGTTTTTCTTTTCCATCCCTTTCTCTCAAAAAAAGGTAGCTCTCAACACTTTCCATTTGCTTTGGCACTAAATTTCTAATGGTTTAGATTGGTATTTCGGGGAGAACTCTACACCAAAGAAATTTGGTTACTCAGAGTGACTACTTAAAAAAGTTGAACTAGGAAAATGATTAGAAAGGGGCTCAAAGTTGGACTTAATTTTTAGTTAGTTTTGTCTTTTATCTTGTATCCTTAAGATTTTTTTTTTTAGTATAGCATGCTTGCCTAGATTGGAGAAGATATAGGGCCAAGAACCTTAAGAGTTTTTCAACCACTAATTCAACACAAGATGCTTTAATTTTGCTCGGCCTCTGAGTGTTTTTCCTTCTTGATCTTACTTCTTCCTTATGGAAATCACTTTTATTTTTCTTATATTTCAATTTTATTATAACTGAAATGGATAAAGAGGAGAGGTGATTTCTTAGGTTAGAAGATATAATGGTGTAATAAAACAAATTATCAAAAAGATTTTTAAATTTAATACACACTATAAAAGATCTAGAGCTAACTTTTAGCGATAGTCAGTGGTTCCAGATGAAACTAT